TATTCAATTGCATGGTGTTTTTTTAGCGCTGGTAAAAATAACCTAAGTGTTTTGAACTCTCCCTCGAAAAAGTACTCGATCAAATATAATTACTGAAATTTGGTCTCGTCAGATTTCACTAAAGCAAGGCATGGAGACCTCTACATCCGTTTTCTTAGCAAATGCTTTCAAATAGTGATTATCAACCACTTTACTCTTGACAGATTGATAAATGATTTCGCAATTGCTGCGAAAAATCATTTTATATCGAACAATAAATCAATAACTTTGCAGAATCTATTATGAAATAATATTAGTCAGAAGGTTTTATTCATCAGTCATACACTGTGATTGAACTATTTTGCGCGCTAAAAATAGCCAAAAAATGGCAAACAAAGGAAAGGCTTGCCAGTCAATGGAAAAGCATGAAGAGTTTATACTGAAGGGTACGATCTGCTAATTGAAAAACAATGAAAAAGAGCAAGAAGTAGTATATAACTGGTGTTCGCAGTTGTTTACTCAATAATGAGTCATTCAACCTCGAAAGAAAACCAGTTCCAACAGATTGGCCTTAAGCTGCAAAACAGCATTTATTTGATTCATTAGACTTCTCCCTACTCAAGCAAACCTACTGTATACAGTTTCAGAAAAGTAAAGTATAATTAATGAGATGGCTAGAGTTATTTGTTTGCGAGAGAGGCAAAAGGCGACAAATATTGAAAAACTCTTGCACGTTTCTGACAATTCGTCTTCCTTTCCACCGTTTCCTTGTCGACCATTAGGAGAGAGTCATCCCCTAATTTTGCTTAGGCAAATCGCTGTGGAGAATAAGCGGGAAGCAGTATTTCTAAAATTTTTGTTCGTTACTGCTAGTTAAAAGTATGATACGCACTATGAGATCTTTTAGTTTTTCATAATTAAGTGACATATAGCTCGTATGAATAATTGCCGAGCGCAGAAAAAATTAGAAATATGCGTTGAAAACTCGTTTCATATAAAAACAAAAATTATGCTTGTTTCTTCCAGATTCACCAAATTGACAGAAAAGGAGGTAGAACATAGCCAAAGTATAGCTCATTGTTGACTTTGTATTGATTAAGAGAATAAAAAGGAATTAAGATAGCATTTAGATGAATAGCATCGAAATTTGAAAATCGTGATCACGGAAACTTTACGAAACGACTGAAATCAGTGAGAGTCACACTTTAAAGGAGTTAGTGACAATGACAGATAGCCCCCAGCATTTCGTGGGCATTGACGTCTACTGAAAATCCATGCTCATCTCTGATTTATTGATTTAGCTTTATCATCGTTGCCACTGCGTGCATTTGCATTAAACACATCTCATTCTCGCTAAGTGCCATTAAATTTCGTTTTCGATGAGAAAGTGAAACGAAAACAACCATTTATGTGTTGAAATCAAAAGATACGAAAGTGCGAAGAGCTTTTCATATAAAGAAAACGATAGCAAACGAATTTCTTGTTTTCTTTCGATTTTTGCGCTAAGCTAG